CAACATGACCAATACCTGGGACTTGAGGTTGACGAAGATGGCTACGCAGACTTGGATGAAGTAGCCACCGTTAGAATCCAAAGTTGTCCTAAGGACGCCTTCAATACAAAAGACAGCTGCGTGTGCCGTTTGTTGGCTTTAGCTCTGTCTATGCCATATTGCTATGACCATCGGTGCCCATCCCTCCCACCCAAAGAAGTTTCAGCTCCGCTGTACCAAAGCGCCAAGTTTCAGCAATGTCAGCCTGAGGGGTCCTGTATTGACTTCACAGCTGATGCTTCTACAGCAGGAGAGTTTATATTTGAACAGCATGAGCGCCAAAACGCTTGAGAAAGTATAGTTTATCTTTTGAAACTTCCGCCATATGTTTCTTTTGTGTTGTTTTATGTAAATAACTTGGAGGCCCGTTTTTTTGGGCAAGTGAGTTTCGATGTTTGCAGGTGCATGATGGCTATACAGCCTCCTTTTTTAAGAGGTGTGTGCTTCTTGTGTGTACTTTACAATCATGAGGGGAAAAAGAAGCGCACAAATTCCCAGGATAGCCCAACCATGTCTTCAAAAAAAACTGGAGGTCCACCGGCCCGAGCTGCGACTTTGGGCGTGTCTATTGTTATAAAGGGGATGGTTGCACAAACCTTCTTTGCTGCAAAGCTCTAAACACCACAATGCGTAGGCACGCCCACAGTCAAAAAAACTCATCCCACGAGCGCTGGTTTCCACCAATCTTTCGGTCAGCGCCCTTTGGCGTCTCGCTTGTGGAGCTGCAGCTCCTTCGCAGACAAAGAGTCATGGTGTCACATGTCGCGCGTCCTTTGTTTGGTGCAGACCATTCTGGCTGGGTGTGAGCGCGCGTGCGTACTTTGTGCTGTGTGCCATCATGGATCTGGTACACGCGGGCCCTTGGAAGTCTTTGCGTGTCCAAGCTGCAAACACTAGTCAGCAGCGACAGGTCACAGCTGATCCAATCTTGAGTCTTGTCTCGATTTTGAGGCATGACATTCTATCCATCTCTTTTTTGTGTTTCAGGTCCAGGACGCATTGGCTGGACTGAGCAGGATGTGGAAACTTCATTTACGCACAACCGTTTTTTGGTGGTGGTGGTTTGGGTTTTGGGTTGTGTTTTGAACCAAGAGGGTGTGGTGGGACAACCAGCCCAGGACAATCTAGCTCAGCTTTGGAAGGACGAAATGCCAAACATTGCTTTGGACTTGGTTCGAAACAAGCGATTGGCTTCTGGTGCTGCCTTGGTCAAACTGACAGAGGAATATGGCAGGCCAACTGCGAAGGACAGTTGGTAGCGTTGTCACGTGAGAATAGATTGGTTCGATGAACTGAGTGTGATCTTGGAGTTCAATTTGTTTTTGAAGAATGTTTGAGTCCCGCGTGCTGCAGGAATTGTCGACCAATTTCATATGGATGAAGCCACTTTGCAAGTCTTTTCCATGCAAGGCGTGGCAAGTCTTTTTCCATTCCACTTGAATGCCAAGGTTTTCCAAAGCTCTCAGATTGGTCAAACAGATTCTCCAAAGCTTTCAGATTGGTCAACATGTTGAGCAGAACATTCTGTGTATCTGTAACTTGGTCAGCTGGAGGTGCCTAGCACTTTCCTGATGGGCGATGCGCTGATGAAGCTCGACAAGATGCTAGAGCATTTGCTGCTGATCCCCAATCGGGGGGAAACCAAAGGCGAAGCCGCCCTTCGTGAGGCGAAGCGCATGAAGAAGCTTATGGGATCTATTCGACACCTTTTTCGAAACAGTGCCTCTTTTGCACAATGGACTTCTTGAGCGAACCAATAGTAGGTCAGAATCCAGGAGCCTCTCTGCTAAAGACTTCCCAAGCGTGGTAGAGGCTTTCATTTGTTAAACATGTTTTCTCTTCACAAACTTGTCAGCTGAGGCGTGAACTCCCATGACCCTGCGGTCCTGGAGTTGAAGGAATTCCTTGAGAGGAGCCCCAAACAGCGTCCGCCTGCCTCGGCTGTTGAGGATGGTGAGGAGTTTGCTGCTGAGAGCAGCGACGAGCCAGCTCCGATTGGTGATGACCCTGATGGTGAAGACGCTGATGCTGCGCCCGCTCCGGTCGCAGATGGTCCTGAGGATTCAGATGTTGAGATGCTGCTTGAGTCATCGTCAGTCAGCCCTGAGGAAGAGGCTCCACAAGAGCCAGAAGACCCGGCACTGGCAAAACGCAAAGCCTACTGGCAACGCTTTGTGGTTCCGAAGTTTGGAAAGCAACCCCAAACTGATGGGCCGCAGCCCTCCGGCAGTTCATCAGCTGATGCTGATACTGTGGAGCCCGGCAAGGAGGAGGATGACTGCTTCTCTCAGCAGGTTGATGATCTCTTGGCTTCACAATCTTCTGGCGTGGACCCTCGGTGGCATGGTACTGAACGGTGGACAGAAGTTCGCAATGGCCTCACCTACACATGCATTCCATCTGGGTACAAAGAATGCCAAGGTTGCAGCAAATGTTTGAACGTTTCATTACCTCCAACTCCAGACATTGAAGCTCATTGGGCTGAACTTTTCTCAGAGGCTGGCGCGATGTCTGATGTTGCCGAACGAGGTTCAGAATCAGATTCAGTGATTGGGCAGCATGTGGAATTTTGAGCTCTCACAGCTGCAGTTGTTGAACATTGAACGTTCGATCTTTTTGAACATTGTTCCCTTGTCTCAGGAACTATTCTCCAACGCCGACAAGGCCGAGGACATGCCCCCATGCGGCCGCTTCGGCATGGAACGGTTTTGCAGGGGTAAGGACTGCGAGGCATGCAAGCTTGCCTTGGACCCTGATGCGAAAGCATCTTTCGTTTCTGTTTGCCAATCGCACGTCAAGCCTGAGAGGAAGGCTCCCGTCGAGGACAAGACAGTCATGAGGACACCGCGGTGCAAAAGGCCATTGTTTGTGGAGACCCCAGAGCTGACTACGCCAGTGAAAGCTTTGGAGCGTGAGGCAAGCGTTGGGGTCTGTCTTCAAATGTGAGCAACCGCTCAACTTTTTTGTGTTCAATCAACGTTTTTTCATGCCAACTTTGAGACGCAGGGACTCTCTGTGTTTAGTGTTGGCTTCCTGTGTGCAATGCTTGCCAATGAATATGTCATTGTTCTTTATCCCGTCTCCATTTGTGCAGGATGCTTCCCGGAAGAAGCACAAGGAAAAGAAGGGGACCAACGGGAAGGCGACCTTCAAGGTGGCGCGTCCGAAGGTGGGTTTGAAGAAGGGCGCCAGTCCAAAGGATGGGTCGCGCACGAAGTATAGAGATTATGATCTTGTGGAACTGAAGGTGCCTAAGGCAGCGTATCCTGACAGTGCCAAGGAAAATTCCGGGCACCATTCATACACTCTATATTCCCCAAGCACCTCAGCCAGAATCGAAGTACTTTTACGGCACAAAGCCTTTTTTGTCAAACGTTGCAGTGATACAGCAGATGGTCCGATTGGACAAGTGTCCTGGGCAAAGCTTGGAGGGCCACAGGCTGCATGGACAGAAGCGGTCCGTCGGAGCGGCTTTTGAGATCTTAGGCTGAACGCACCTATGTTGGATTGCTGGGGTCTGCCGGCACGATCACCTCTGCCTTATTCACATGTGTTCAGCGCACTTACAAGTTTGAAGGGGTCTGTTTCGAGTGGAGGTGGTTGTGGTTCAGATGGGGTATAGCCAATTCCTTAAGGTGTAAAGCAGCGCAAGGCAGAGCTAAAAAACAGTCTGCTTATCACATATTTTTTGCACTTGAGCCATGTTGAGCCAATGAGTCATGACAACACACCACCACGACAGACTTTGCCTGTGTCAAGGGTTCTCTCATGGTAGACTGTTTCTAAAGAACTTGCGCGCGCGGTTGTGTGCAGTCGTGTGCTGTGCATCGATGCCCCTGAAGCCTGTCTGTGAAGCTGGCCCAGAACAAGCTGGCCCTTCGAGTTGCCAGCGCTGTCATTTTGCACGCCACTCTTACAAAAATCAAAACATGCAGGAAAGGTTGAAACAGAGAAGTTCAAGTCTCACCGATGTTACTTATAGACCAAGATCTAACCTCAGAAACCTTTAAAGCTTCCCTTGTTCTCTGCAACCCGGCCGCCAGCTTTGATGAGAGGTTTGAAAGAGCCCATTGGATGAGAGTTCCAAACAACATGCATGCAGAATTGTAAAATGGCCCCCATGAACTTGCATGCTGTATCGAATGGAGCGAAAATGTCATTTGACTCTCAACAGCTTTTGAGTTTGATCTACCAACCCATGATCGCGAATGTGCCTTCGATGGCTTGAAAGCGACGTGGAGAAGGCGCTCTGCCAAACCGTTCAAACCTGTCAAACCCGGACCCCGGGCTCCTTCCAATCGTCGCAGGCTTTGTGGCCACCAGCATCTTCACCTTAAGGTCCAGCTGGCACAGTGTTTGCCCGGGAAGAATCCAGGTGTGCTTTTGAACTTTGTGGGAAAAGTCTATATGCATATACAAATAGCTGGGTGTGACATAAACATAAGACTTACGAGCATTGCGATTCAAGGTTTTCTGGATCTTGTAGCCTGCAGGGTTTGCAGACTTGCTAACAAACTGTTTGCATGGCCTAAAGTGATTTTGGCTGGCAAGTGCTGTTCGCCGTCGAACTCATGGGAAAGCCAAAGAGCTCAGGGTCTAAGCATCAGCGCATGGCTGACGCGAGGAGGGTCCCAGAATGCTTCCGAGCGGACCCATCGAACTCGGCCAAGAACAAAGAGCGGTCTTTCACTCTCCAAGGACTGCGAAGGATTGGAGCCCCTATGGTTTCTTATTGAAATGAATGCGGGTTTCTCATGTGCTTTAATTCAGTCACTTCAATCCACTGGTACAGGAAAAGGTTCAGGTTCAATAGCCCTTGTGTTTAGAAACCAAAGGAACACCTTTTTGGATGTCACCTTTCCAGGCCACCTCTTAAACGTGCGGTCGCTTATATTTCCGGTGGTTTCCAAGATGGCAGGGGCCCTCCGCCAGCTTGTCCAAAGCCATCCAAGGCTGCGGCCATGCTTGCTGCTTTGGTTTACAGCATGCCGAACCTGAATTGGATGGATCCGAAGGACCACACAGAATTGTTCTCCGGCTGTGGCTCGGTCACCCGCGGCGAACTTCAGGCTTGGGATGGAGGGTCCAACCAAATAAAGAAATGAAGGGGCTGCGATAAGAGTTTCAATATGAGTGGAAGCGCAAACCAATTTCAGGGTGGCCTCAATTAGCCCTGTAGTAGCAACAAAAAAGCTATTTCAGGCCACCCCTCACATGTATGTTTTTTACTTGACACCGCTTGTATGTCCTTTGCGCTTCTCTTTGGAGGAAGGCAGATCTGTCTTTGCGTACGACATCGAGTACAACAGGGAGTTCATGGACATCATGTCACCTCAGGGGTATGCCCTTGCCATTTTTGCAGTTCTCAACACCAAGAGGGCAGGAGGCCTCACTCTGGCACCAGTCTGTTCGACTTGGGTGTTCATGATCCTGTAGCTTTGCGTTTATGACCTTTTGGGGTTTGCGTATGGGTTTTGATTTATAGTATGGTTCAGTAAAGTATGAAACCAACAACTATGCCCATATCGACCGCTCAGGAGTAGAGGAAGCACCCTGCGCAGCAGAGCCAGACCACTTGGATCTGGCAAAGGTTCCTGCAGAACCGGATCCATCATGGCCGCACGCTGCGCCATCTTGATTCTTTTGGCGGCAGCACGGGGGTTGTTCTGGGTGTTGGAGCAACCCAAAGGGTCCTTGTTCCAATATCACCCCCTCATCCAGCATGTTTTGAGCCTCATCAAGGTTTCCAGGAAACATATTCGGATGGGAGACTATGGTGCGCCTTCGCAGAAACCAACTTGGCTGTATACAGGACCGATGAGTGGCCCAATCCCAACAGGCTTAGTTTGGGGGAACCAAAAACATTCTGGGTTTGTTCTTTGGAAGTCTTTCGACTTGAGAGTTTCAAATCATCGCATCTGTGGAGGGCGTGTTCTTGGTTGTGCTGGTTTGCAAAAATATTGATATTGGTATCCACGAAAAGGGTTTCTGGTGGAAGCGTTTTGGAATTGAGGCACGAGTCTGACTCAGGTTGGCCTAACACGCCAATGGGTCCACACAGGGTTGTTTCAACTTTGTTTGATTTGCGCGTCACCAACAAAATCGGCAGGACATGGTGACATTCTCGACAACCTTGACCGCTTCAAACCGCTCCGGGTGCCGATCCATGAGAAGAGCGAGTTGGTTGAGAAGTACATTGATGGGAAAGGGAAAGCCCGCATAAAGGGATCTGCTCAACTGAAATCTTCGCAGGCTTATCCAATACAGCTTTTTCCCTTTGATTAGCAAATGTTGCCCTCTGACTCTGAGTCAGGGTTGTTGCCAAATCTTTATACATATATATATATATAGTTATATAAATATACGATATATATATATATATACATTCCCAATCCACCACCCCACACGCTCAGGTTCGGCCGTGCCCTGGCAAAACTTAGAACCAGGCACACGCAGGATGTGAAGAAAGCAGCGAAGACCTTCTTGAAGAAGCAGCCTCAGCCAGCATCCCGGAAGAGATCCAGTTCTTTGACCAAATGGATTGAAATGGCGGATCTTCAGCCAGTGTTTGAATACTTAAGCTGACCTTTCCGTACAAGCACATACCACTGGAGTTTGTTCAAGCGCACAGTGTATAACAATGTGGTATAAAGCAACATAAAACAACAACGGTGTGTGTGGGGACGTGTGGTCAAGCCCGTGTGAAAAACACGGTCCTTTTAGGAAACATAGTAATTCAGTGAGCTGTCGCGTCATGTTCCTAAACATGGCATTAGGCGGCGCCAGGTGCAATAATCACGCGGGCAAAAGTGAATTGCTGTGGACAAGTGTTTGCTGTCAGGGTTAGCTTCATTCCACTTCACCCAACCCAAGCGACATCGCACGACAAGTGAAGCTAAGTGGTCCTTTTCATGAATCTTCCCACTTCAGCTATCCCAATACGGCAGAACAAATGAAGCTAAGCACTCATGGTTGCCAGGTCATGCCCAGACTGGTCTTGAAGAGCATCAAGAGCTTTCAAGGCATCTGCAGCGTTGTCGATATTTTTTTGGGAAATCATCAATTTGGCAGTGGTGAAAAATCGTAAGAAAGTGGTGAATTGTCGTAAAATGGCGTGAATGGTAGGGACCCTCCAACTGCAGTAGAATTCGACCGCCCACTTTAAATCAAGAATCTTGCAGTGTGATGTGAATGGGTAAAACATGATGTGTGGAGGTGATGAAAAGGTGTGAATTGTGTAAAAGGCGTGAACTGTATCTGGAGTCCATGAGGATGGTTTGAATTATATACCGCAGCCCATTTGCAGATACCCCCTGCCCAGTGAAGGGACACCATGGCTAAAACCAAGCCAGCGCAAATGGAGCAGCGGAGGTCTGCTTTGCGCAAGCCTTCTGGTCGAGACTCAGAGAGTGCTCGCAGCTCCTCTACTGTGGCATCGACCAGCGACATGAGGCGGGTGACAGGAAAGCAGCCAGACAAGATTGACAAGACTGCGAAGTTTGAGAGCAAGCCCAAAGAGGGTGGAGAGGGCAAAACAAGGAGGGAGGAGAAGGAGAAGGAAAAGAGTTCAAAGGAAGTTACAAAGCCGAAGAAAGATGGCAAGAAGCGCAAGAGAGATGATAGCCCGGAGATAGAGGCTTTGTTGGATGATGAAGCCAGCAGTGACGAAGTCCCCAGTGACAATGATTCAGAAACCACGCTTCAGCTGGGCGCCGAGGCAGGCCACAGCTCTGAGGAGGAGGGCGACGACGACGAGGTGGATGAGGATGAGGGAAGCGACTCAAATGAGTCTGACGATGAAGATGATCCTCAGGAGGAAGATGAGGAGGAAGACGAGGAGGAAGACGAGAAAGAGAAAGAGAAACAGAACCAGAAAGAGAAAGAGAAGGCGAAGAAAGAGAAGGAACGTGTGGAGAAAGAAAAGGAGAAGGCGAAGGAAGCGAAGAAGGGCAAGAGCAAGGAGGAGGCAGGAAAAGCTTTGGCGGCAGCAGCAGCAGGCGCAGACGGCGCAGACTTCAGCGAAGCAAATAGTGCCTGTCCCATTTAAACCAAACTGTTAGTGACTGCGGCGCATGGGTTTCCATAAAGACTGTTCTATAACTCAAATTTGCTGACTATAGCTAAGGTGTTTCCCACCCGAAGGAATGGGCAACTTTCACACGTCAATGCAACGACCGCAAACGATTCCCAGTGTCGCTGGCAAGCTACGCTGACAAGAAAAAGCTCGACCTTTTTCGATTGTGGCTGGAAAACAACAATGACTTGGAACAGCAGGGTCCTTATTTGATTTGAACACTTCACGATTTCATGCGTTAATGTCCTTGTCCTTCTTCTTTGGATCCCACCCCACCAACCGTTCATTCCTAAGGGTGGCAGTCATCGTTGAACGAACAGTTCAAAGGGATGTTGAAGCCAAGTCTGGGCGTATTGGAGTGAAAGCAAGAGATTTGGCCCCAAAGTATGTCACGCCCGACAAAGTACCCAGCTACATTAAGAAGTTGCGAGAGAAGGGACTTTGGTCTTGGGATGAAGATTGGCCAAATGATGAAGAGGACCATGGGCCCAAAGAGTTAGTTCATATAACTAATCGTTTGGAGGTGACCACAAATGAGTTACGCGGTAACCTCAAATGAGTTAACTGTTTCAGGGTGCACTTTTATGAGACAACTTTAAAGTCAAGCCTTGGGACCCTGAAGGAAATCTGGTACTACCCAGCTACCGGGAAAAAGTTTGTGCGTCGAGATCTCACATCTGAGAAGATGACTTTGAGGGGGGAATCCAAAGGCCCAGAGAACGTTGAACTCATCGATAACCTGACTGCCAGCGACGGCATCCTGCAAGCTGGGTGTATGCCGGCCTTGGAGATGGGCAATGAGGAGGGTATGAAATCCATGTGCGAAGCGCTGGCAGGCTCAGTGACAAAGACCAAAGCGCCCAAGAAACCCAAAGAGAAGACCGAGGAGCTGAAGCCTGCCACCTCGAAGGAGAGACTTAGACTCAGACTCTATTAATTGAAATCTTATGATATCCTTTTTGGACGACATCCCAACCAGACCCCATTCTTCAAGTGTACCAGGTAGCCACAGGTGGCTCTTAAGTTGACCAAGGTTTGATATAGGTTTTTCTATGCCCCCCAAAACGGGCGCCGTCTTTCTTCTTTAGCTGGACCCAGCCAAGACTATGTCATTTGACCTGTGACCAAACTCAGGAGAGCGCAAGCCTTGATGGACGATGTGTTGAAGGAAGGCGTTGACGCCAGGAAGCTCGCTGTGTCGCTTCAGCATGTCCAGTACAGCGAGCAACTTGTCACTCAGCTCTTCAAGCACAGCGCCCACATGGAGAAATTGTTCGGTGTGTTTCAGAAGCTTACTACCGACAGCAAGACAAAGGACAAAAAGTATGAGGCTGCGATCGACTTGGCTACGGAGAAGATGAAATGGTTCGAGAAGAGCAAGGACAGTTGATCCCATTCATAACATCGCAAGTGATTTATCGCACTTCGCCACATTTGCAATGTAATGATTTGTGTGTACTTCCATATGTGCCATATGACATGTTTGAGTGTGCTTCACCACATCATACATCGCAATTGTTAGAGTTTAGGCGCGTAGCTTCTGAGTAGTAAGCTAAAACATTAAAACATCTTAGAAAAACCTCGCTGCATCCTTCGCCCTATCAGGAAGCCGCCAAAGGCTTGCTGTCCGGGCTGAACAAAAAGAAGAAGGTGGGCAAGGCGAAAGCCAAAGGTAAAAAGGCAAAGTCTGAAGGGCATGGGGGTAAGGGCGCTTAGGTGTGCCCTGCTAGAAAACAGCATCAAACAGTCCCGTAGGGGATGGCCTTTGGAGAGCAAGTTCAAACGTCTTTTATGAATTGTGTTTGTTCAAACGTCTTGTATCAAACGTCTACGCAACTATGTTTGTCAATGGCCCATTTTGGGGACTGGCGATGTTTGTCTGTCGCACTGGCTTTTGAAGATGCGAAGCATTCGCATTCGTAGGGTTTACAAGACCACTTCTCGCGATCGCTGAAAATATTGCCTTGCCCGTGCTTCGGCTTTGATTCTTAAAGCACAGTCACCAAAAAAGGGTGCCAATCAAGCTGCCCACTGATTTTCTATCACTAATGGTGGAAAGGTTTCAAAGCTTCTATGACCAATGTCATCTCGCATACTTTCCACTAACACCTGATGAATGCCACCGTGCAGGCGGCGATGATCCTACCAGATCAGCCCCTTCCTGTCCAGTTAGGCCAGGCGCCCGTGCCCAATCCATGGAGAGATCTTCAAGTCTTCCAACCTCATTTCGTTAGGTCAGGAGTTAGAGAGAGAAGTGTATCTTTCGAAAGCCTTCCAGAAAGTCACCAAGCAGAGGAATACATCAGTGTCTTGTTTTTGCAAACGCTTATGTTTCGCTTGAATGCATGAGCGTTCCAGTCAAGATGGCAACTTCTCTTGAAATCTATGTGATTCCCGTCGTCCTCTCACGCCCCCGTCTGAGGACTCATTGGAAGTGGCCAAGTGCATGTCCGAACAGTGGCTGGGTTAGCTCAGGCAGCCCTGCAGGATGGCGAACCATCGCCGGGGGTGAGGCTCTTCGCAAGCCTCGGATCGTTTGGCGCTTGTCCGGCAAACGAAGAGCGTGACCTACACCGATGGTTGAAAAATCTATACGGTATCTCATTGGAAATTTCCTATGTCCATTTGCGGCTTCATGTTCCTCCACAATGCAAAAAGAAACGAAAGTGGTTTATGTACTCTTTTCCAATTGTCTATTTTTATTGAAACCGTACCATTTGCAGCCAACCAGGTTGTAGATTCGACGGAGATTGAAGAAGTTGCTGTTCCATGTTTGCTACCTCACGAGATCTTCTTTGCTTTGGGCAATGCAGGTGAAGAACAGGAGATTTGTTGCAAACATGCTCTGACTCTGAAGGTCTGACATTAAAACACGCGTTGAACCTTTCGGAAACATGCTCTCTTGTCCGGTTTCCCTGCCAGTTTCAGAAGTCTATGCTGGGCGATTGGCAACGCTCTGACATTGCAAGCCTGTGGAGGCATTGCTCTGACTTTGAGGAGTGGGCCGATCATCCGCTATTCCATCAAGATCATGACCTAGGGAGAGCCGATCTTAGTGCCGTACTTCCACCAAGGTATTCAAAGTCTAATTTTGTCAGCAGGGTGCAGACTCCAAGGATTGCCCAACCCACAAAGCAGTTTTGCTTCCATCGTAAAAACATGTTCATGATTGGGGACAATTGCAACCGCTACCGAAACCAAACATCTGAGGATTTATCCCTGTAACCTTCCACTGTGATGGAGCGGAATTCTTCCGGAATAGTGAGTACATGGTCTGGAGCTTTGGAAGCTTGCTATCGTCTGGAGATGTCACTTACTGAAAATCAATTCCCTTGGTTTGTATTTGTATGGTTGTTGGCAGTTTGCCAGGAGTTCATTGGCCACACCATTTTCCATCTGAGGTGATGGAAGTCAAGTTTCCTGTGTGCATCATCCCCCATGAATGCATGAGGACACCAGCAGCTACTCGGCCCAACACGAGTGAAAACTGATTTCATCAATTGCTCTGGAA